CTGACAGTGTGCACAAAGTATGTGAGACGTATTTTCACCATCTTTGGCTCTAGGGAGCACTTTAAAGCTGATTTCTTTGTTCTTTTGACAGTCCATGGGCTATTCTCTGATATTCATGAGCATCACAATTCAAAAGCATCCATTTTTCTTCTGTCTTTATTCATTGTCCACATTTCAGATATATAGAAAGTAACTGTAAATGCTGTGACTTGGATCGACATCATTGCTCTTCAGCACTTTAATAAAGTCCTCGACAGCATTTTTTCTCAATGCAACATGCTTTTTCTTTTCTGTTTCTTAACTGTTGCCACCGTGGGTGTTGGTTATGGATATAAGTAAAATGAAATTGTTGACAACTTCATCTTTTCTCCATCTGTCATGATGTTGCCTGTTGGTCTAGTGGTGAGGATTTTGGGGTTTGGATTTTGGTTTGGGTTTTTTTGGGGGTGGGGGTGTTGTTATTATGAAAGTAGAGAGCTTTGATAGCTTAGTGGTAGGAATTTGCAGTGCCAACCAAAAGACAGGCAATTTGAATCCACCAGCTTCTCTTGTTCCATTTACAGCCTTTGTAAACACGCTGAAGGGTCAGTTGTCAATCAGTTTTAACTTGGCACATGACGATAACAACAACATGAAGTAGTGTGTGCTAATTAGAGCAATTTATATTTTAAAATTTGTGGAATTTCTGAAACTTGGAAAGAAGAAAATTTATCTGTAATACTGTAGTCACTGGTGACCCATTTTGGTATTTCTTTTTAGGCATTCTTGTTCTTTTCATTGTGGACCCTCTCAGCATGTTTGTGGAGACAATGAATCACATGGGAAGACATTACCCATTTTTTCTCTTCTGGAGCAGCTGGTGGATCTAAACCATGCTCCTTTGGGTTTGCAGGGCAGCTTCTACTGCCATTAAGCCACCAGACCTCTCTTTTTAGACACTAGGAATTTTTAAGAATGTGAGCTAACTATTGACTTGGTAGACATTGGCTATACAGATGCTAATACAAGGAAGCTTTATACACACTTGATGCCCTTCTGCTTCCCCCACATTGCTTTCCTTTGTTTCATTTCAGAAACTGCTGAAAGGCAGACTAGTAATTAGGGATTGTGTTGTACATATGTGAATTGATTCTTTAAAATTTGAACATCAGAGAGTCCATACTAATAAGTACTTGGAATGCTGAATTACCTGTTCTAATTCCAGTTGTGTTCTTTAATGTCTGGATACCTTCCTTCACTCCTAACCCACCTTTATCTTTCTGTCCTACCTTTTATTGACTTCTGTGCTTAATCTATATGCAAATACTGCCCTTTAGGTCCTTGATCACACTTAGGAGTGGTGTTGTTCACCTTGTAGGGCTTTCTGTTGTTTGGAAGAAAGCTGAACCACCGTTGAGAGTTCAATTTCTGGTTCAGAGATAACAGAACTCTAGTCTGGGGCCCAAAAGTCTGTCCAGCCAGAAAACTTGGCCATTTTTATGTTCTTTTGAGTTTTGTTCCACATTTCCCTCCACTCTTATGTAGAGTCTTAAGCAGTTACACCTGAGGAGCACCATCCAGTTCTTATGGCCTCATGGGTGTTAAGATTCCCGTGGTCTGTTAGTTCTGTGGCTGAATTATTTCTATATATCTTGCTTTGTTTCTGTCTTCTTGGCTGTGGACAGAGATTGGCCAGGATTTGTACTTTAGCTGACTATTCTTAAGCTTTTGAGACCCCATCACTGTCACTAATGTAAGATATTAAACATTGGTCTCATATGCTGTATTAGACCATCTGACCTTGACATCTTTTGAAGTCCTTGGACAAGCCACATTGTGAATACTCTGTAAGTGCATTTGCTTCTTCAGCAACTCATCCACTTCTTTTCTGCTTAGTTTAGAGAACGACCACATTTCTGAGATATTAGGCATTTGGTTCTATTTTTTGTTTGCCATCAAGTCAAGCACTACTCATAGATACCCCATGAAGAAAAGACCTGAAGCCTTTCTATAACTATCCTTGTTTCTCAAAGTTCAAAGAGTTTCCAGAGGCATGTTGTTTAAGAAGTGGACCAAAAAAACTAAAACCAGTCACTCTGGGAAATTTTTATTTCCCATTGCACAGGGAGCTCTGGTGGCCTAGTGGTAAGAAGCTACACTGCAATATGAAAGATACATGGTTCAAATCCATCAGCTACTGTGTGGCAGGATGGACAGTCTCCTCCCTTGGATTTCCTGCTGCTCAAAATCCACTGGAGGGTCAGCTGTGGGTTGGTTCTGACTTGACAGACACAGCAACAACAGTTCATGTTGTTATTGTTATATGCCTTCAGGTCTCTTGCAACTCATAGCAACCCTATGTACAGTAGCCATGAAATGTGCTCTATCCTGTGCCAACCTTATTTTCCCTTGATATACCTACCTTCATTAGCCCCAGTTACTGAATCAATCCATCTCATCTAGGGTCTTTCGCTCTTGCACTGTCCCTCCGCCTTCCCAAGCAGAATGTCCTTCTCCTAGGACTGGCCCCTCCCTGCAGCATATTCAAATTATGTTATGAAGCCTCAGGATCCTTTCCTCCAAGGAGCAGCCTGGTTTCACTCTCTTCAGGCCAACCTGTTTGTTCTCCTGGCAGTCCATGGTATATTCAACACTCTTCTCCAGCATCACAGCGCAAAGACATCAATTCTTTTTCTTTCATCCCTAGTTATTGCTCACCTATCTGATGCATAGCAAGTAATTGCAAAGACTATGGCCTGGATGAGGTGCACCTTGGTCTCTGGACTGACATCATTGTTCTTCAGTACTCTGGAGAAGTGCTTGACAGCAGACTTTCCCAGTGCAATTCGATACCAAGAGTGTTGAATGTGGAGCCAAGCAAACTAAAGCTGTTAACAGTCTCTGTCTCTTTACCATCTATCATAATGCTGCCAGTTGGCCCAGTGGTTAGAATCTCTGTTTTCTTGTTGTTGAGCTTCAATCCATACTGAAGGCTGCAATCCTTGACCTTCTGCAGCAGGCGCTTCAGGTCCTCCTCAGTTTCAGCAAGCCAGGGTTGTGTCATCTGCTTAACACAGGTTGTTGATGAGTCTTCCTCAATCCTGATTCCACATTCTTCATATTGCCCAGATTCCTGGATGATCTGTTCTGAATATAGATTGAAAAAGTATGGAGATTGGACACTTCCCCTGGCATACACTCTCCCCAATTTTGAATTATGCAATGTTTCCTTGATTGTTGTGATGACTGCTTCGTGGACCAAGTGTATAGGTTTCACAGAATCACAATCAAATGTTCCGGGATTCCCATTCTTCTCAGAGTTAGCCACAGTTTGTTGTGATCCAAACAATCAAACGCCTTAGCATAGTTAATAATTCACAGATAGATATTCCTGTGCTACTCTCTGCTTTCAGCCAAGATCCACCTAGCATTAGCTATATTATATCCCTAGTAACATAGCCTCTTCTAAACCCAGCCTGCACATCTGGCAGTTCTCTGTTGGTGTGCTCTTCTAATCATTTTTGGATAATTTTCAGCAGAACCTTTCTTGAATGTGACATTAATGATACTGCTTGATATTTCCACACTCTATCAGTATCTCCTTTCTTTGGAATGGGAATAAATGTTGGCCAGGTGATTGTCCTCCAGATTTCTTTTTTTTTTCCCCCTCCAGATTTCTTGGCACAACTTGGTACGCACATCCACAGCAGCATCTGTTGAAGTACGTCAATTCCTGGGGCCTTCTTTTTGCCAATTCTTATAGAACAGCTTGAACTTCCTTCATCACCACAGGCTTTTGTTGATACATTGTTTCATTAAATTCTTCTGTGTGAACCAATTCCTTTTGGTACAGTGACCCTGTGTACTCCTTTCATCTTCTTTTAATACTTCCTGATCAAAAGTTTTATTGAACTATTGTTGTTAGATGCCATTGAGTCACCTACAACTCATAACAACTACGGATAATACTTCTGATCCCTGTCCTATCCTGAGCCTATAGCAGAGAGAGAGAGAGAGAGAGTGTGTGTGTGTGTGTGTGTGTGTACACACGTACATACATACACACACACAGGAACTCTGGTGGCCTAATAATAAGGAATTGCGTTGCCCAAAGACATGGAATTCTCATTCACCAGCTGCTTTGAAGGAGAAAGATGGCCAGCCACCTCCCGTGCTATTTACAGGCCCTGAAAACCTACTAGAAGATCAGCTATGAGTAGGTTCCAATTTGACAGCACACAACAGTAACACAGTTTTTAAATTGTATAATAACATTATGAAAAAGTTAGAAATATTGCAAGAATTAACAGAATGTAAGACAGAGACATCATATTGGGAAAGTGTCATCAGTAGACTTGATTGACACAGGGTTGTCACAAGAAAAACCAAACAAAACACCACGGTATCTGTGAAACACAATTAAATGTCATTGGTAGGTGCTGAGTATGACACATAGCTACCCTATCAACAACAGACCCAAACCATGTCCGATCCACTGTACTCTTCATCATCTCTGATACACTTGAGCTCATTGCTGCAGTGTGTGTCAAGTCCATGTGTCAGTCTGTCTCGATGGCAGTCTTCCTTCCTTTCTCTGACACTCCATCTTTCTAAGCATGATGTTCCTTTCCAGAAAATAGCCTCTCTTAGAAACATGTTCAGAGTACAAGACAAAGCCTATATATTTGGTTCTCCAAAGTAAAAGATTATTATTTTCCTTTTTAGATAAGTGATATTTTCAAGTTAGATAAACAGTTGCCATCAACTCATGACAACTTTATATGTATAGTCAGAGTAGAGCTTAGCTCCTTGGGTTTGCAGTAATTGGTTTTCTGCCAGTATACTAAGCTTTTTTCCCTTAAGCTCCTGTATATGTATTTGAACTGCCAACCTTTCAGTTAGCATCCACACATGTTAACCTTTTACACCACCAGACCATGAGAATATTTGTTTATTGTATAATATGAATTTCATATTCTTAAAACAAGTCTAGGAGTAATAAAAGCCATCTATTTTAACAGGTAAACAATGTAGATTTCACAAATATCATAAGGGAAGAAGCTGTTCTTTTCCTGCTTGACCTCCCTAAAGGAGAAGAAGTGACCATATTGGCTCAGAAGAAGAAAGATGGTAAGATATTATCAGATGAAAGAAAATGAACCTGTAGGAATTTGAAGGCCTACATAGCCATTTATTTAGGTTCTTTTTTTCTTTAATTAATGATTCAAAGTTGAGAGGAGTTTGTTAATGTCATTTGATTTTCTTATTTGTTTGAACATGTAGGGGCATACAGTTTGGCACTCTGTTCACTAGAGCACACAAATTAGAGCAACATTTATAACGTCGTAACTTAAGTAAAATGTCATTCAGGCTGTTGTTGTTAGATACCGTCAAGTACAACTCAGAGAAACCTGATGAACAACAGACCTGAACCCTGCCCTGTCCTTTGCCATCCTCATCATCTCTGATACATTTGAACCTACTGCGGCAGTCACTGTATCAGTCGCTCTGTGGGGTCTTTCTCTGTTTGACTGCCATTCGACCTTTCCAAGCCTAGTGTCCCTTTCCAAGGAATAGCCTTTCCCTTTTTTTTTTTTT